ATTTTGGCCTCCGAACAGTCCAGATTTGAATCCGTTGGACTATTACGTGTGGAGCGTCATTGAACGAGTGACCAACAAGTCGAGACATCCCAATGTGACATCTCTCCAAACCGCTATCGAAGCAGCATTCGCCAATATAGACAAGGACGCGTTGCAGAGAGCGTGCCAGCGCTTCAGGATGAGGATCGAAGCAGTCATCGAAGCAAAAGGGGGTTATATAGAGTAATTTTACTCTAAAAGGATACCACTAGTGATACACAAAAAGTTCTTTTGTAAGTTTTACATTTTGATGAGTAGAATTTTATTTAAACAAATTGTTCATTTTGTCCGGATTTTGGTGGCGGACCCTGTATATGTGTACTGTCTATTATATTTCAATGTATAGTTTATTTTAGAAAATCTGTCGCACCGACGATATCCCAGACAGCATAAAATATTCTGAGAATATTCTAACAAGATGATTTTTACATATTCTGATAATATTCGGAAAGAATATTCTTACATGGTTTCAAGAATGTTCTGAATATTATTGGAATATTATTTGTTATGTTCTCAGAATATTCTATTAAAACAGCACAAAATATTAAAAAAATATTCTAACAAGATGATTTCTACGCATCCAGAAAATATTCGGAAAGAATATTCTTATATCGTTTTAAGAACTTTGTGAATATTATTAGAATATTATTTGCTAAATTCTCAGAATATTCTATTAAAACAGCACAAAATATTAAAAAAATATTCTAACAAGATGATTTCTACGCATCCAGAAAATATTCGGAAAGAATATTCTTATATCGTTTTAAGAACTTTGTGAATATTATTAGAATATTATTTGCTAAATTCTCAGAATATTCTATTAAAACAGCACAAAATATTAAAAAAATATTCTAACAAGATGATTTCTACGCATCCAGAAAATATTCGGAAAGAATATTCTTATATCGTTTTAAGAACTTTGTGAATATTATTAGAATATTATTTGCTAAATTCTCAGAATATTCTAAGAACATTTTAATAACTTCACATCACCGAACATTATAGTAAAGTTATAGATATGTTATAAGCTTACACATTTTAATGAGCATCCCAGATACAATACAAAATCATTTTGATGTTAAGATGATATTATTACCCTTATAGAAATATCATACTAAGAATCATTGATAATTACTTATTTGCAGTATTAAAAATACTGGATAATAAGTAATTATCAATGATTCTTAGTATGATATTTCTATAAGGGTATGACATCAATGTCTTGAAATTGTCATAAAAATGGTATCGTTTGACTCCAAAATGACATCATCTTTATATCATTTGACGTCATTTTAATTTTCATATAACTTTATATTCTATCTGCCCTACTGAAAAAATCAAGCTGAGATCTCAATTGAGAACTCAATTACAGAATAATTACTCTGTCAAAATATTGTGAGAGAGAAAAAAAGTATATTCTCTCTCTTTTGTGAGCATGTTGTATGCCAGACAGCACAAGTTCTATGAACATTCTGAGAATAATATCAGGGATATTTAAATATTCATAGAATATTCTCACATGATACTTCGAAGTTCCTAATAATTTTCAAGAGAATATTTAAAGTATACAAAAAATCACGTTCTATGAACATCCTATAAATATATAATATTCTAAAGAATATCTTATGAATATTCTAAGCACATTATCCACATAGCACATAATATTATACAATATCACAGTAATATTGCAATATCTCAGTAATATTACATAATTTCACTTAGTAAAAAATGAAGTATTATTTTGTTTAAATAACAAAAAAATCCGGCATTTCATATTTTGTGTCGTTTTACTTATTCGTGAGATTCGCGTGGATTCGATCCCGTATCAGACGCACCATCTTTAGATGACTATGCTATTCAATGCTTAACCTCAGCGATCGTACGGGAATTAATGATGCCAATGCGCTGTAACAATATTTTGGTGGATTGTATTTACAATATATTATAATATCGTTTAAAAATGTAATGACATATGTCGGTAAATGTTTCAAAGGATGTAACAACAATCACAAGGCGATTAATATTAATACAATGTTGTATAAGTAATCAAACTTTAACATACAACAAGCTCATAAAAAAGAGAGAATATTCTTTTTTCTCTCTCACAATATTTTGACAGAGTCATTACTCTATAATTGAGTTCTCAATTGAGATCTTAGCTGGATTTTTTCAATAGGGCAGGTAGAACACAAAGTCAAAAGTTAAAAATTAAAATGATGTCAGATGATATAAAAATAATGTCATTTTGACGTCAAACGATACCATTTTCATGACAATTTCAAGACATTGATGTCAAAATAATATCATGTTAATATCAAAAATTATTTTGTGTTGTATCTGGGATGCTCATTAAAATGTGTAAGCTTGTAACCTACCCATAACCTTACTACAATGTTCGGTGATGTGAAGTTATTAAAATGTTCTTAGAATATTCTGAGAATTTAGCAAATAATATTCTAATAATATTCACAAAGTTCTTAAAACGATATAAGAATATTCTTTCCGAATATTTTCTGGATGCGTAGAAATCATCTTGTTGGAATATTCTTCGAATATTCTGTATTGTTTTAATAGAATATTTCTGAGAACATAACAAATAATATTCCAATAATATTCAGAACATTCTTGAAACCACGTAAGAATATTCTTTCCGAATATTTTCTGGATGCGTAGAAATCATCTTGTTGGAATATTCTTCGAATATTCTGTATTGTTTTAATAGAATATTTCTGAGAACATAACAAATAATATTCCAATAATATTCAGAACATTCTTGAAACCACGTAAGAATATTCTTTCCGAATATTTTCTGGATGCGTAGAAATCATCTTGTTGGAATATTCTTCGAATATTCTGTATTGTTTTAATAGAATATTTCTGAGAACATAACAAATAATATTCCAATAATATTCAGAACATTCTTGAAACCACGTAAGAATATTCTTTCCGAATATTATTAGAATATATAAAAATCATCTTGTTAGAATATTTTTAGGATATTTTGTGCTGTCTGGGATATTAAAGTTTGATTACTTATACAACATTGTATTAATATTAATCGCATTGTGATTGTTGTTACATCCTTTGAAACATTTACCGACAAATATGTCATTACATTTTTGAACGATATTAGAATATATTGTAAATATAATCCACCAAGATATTGTTACAGCGCATTGGCATCACCAGTTCCCGTACAATCGCTGAAGTTAAGCATTGAACAGTATAGTCATTTAAAGATGCTGCCGTCGACACGGGATCGAATCAATGCGAATCTCATGAATAAATAAAACGACACAAAATATGAAATGCCAGATTTTTTTTTGTTATTTTTTGTTATTAAATAATACTTCATTTTTCACTAAATGAAATTATATAATATTACTGAGATATTGCAATATTACTGTGATATTGTATAATATTATGTGCTATGTGGGTAATGCGCTGTGAAGATGTTTAGAATATTCATAAGATATTCTTTAGAATATTCATAGGACATTCATAGAATGTGATTTTTTGTCTACTTTAAATGTTCTCTTGGAAGTTATTAGGAACTTCGAAGTATCATGTGAGAATATTCTACGAATATTTAAGTATCCCCGATATTATTCTCAGGATGTTCATAGAACGTATTTGTGCTATCTGGGATGTCTGTCTCTAGCCGTGTGACTGGGGGCTATGCTCCCTGCACCGCAGCAAGAGAGTCTGTTATGCTTGAGCTATAAACAAAAAGTTATAAACAAAAGAAATTTCGGAGTAGTTTGTTCATACTGTATACAAACTTTTTAACAAACAACCCATATAGCACACAATGTTCTATGAATATTCTTATGGAAAGCGGATATTCTCAATTTCAGAATATTTAAATGGAATGTTCAATAAATATACGTAGAATGTTACAATTAGAGTCATATTTTTATAATGAAAAAGAACATGTTAAGAATATTCTTCGAAAGTGTATAGAATATTTGTCGAGAATGTTTGTGGAATATTCTTCGAGAACGATTTTAGAATACTCGTTCCAAATCATTTTAGAATATTCATCGGGTTTATGTATTTTGCATATTGTTTATAGTGTAATACATGTCTTAATAACTTCTGAGAAAGGTAATGAAATCTATGATTACATAAAACCGGCACACTATCTAGACAGCATACAATATTTATGATAACCCAAGTAGCACAATGACGTCAATAAGACG